TTTAATGAAGAATTAAAATTATAAAGACTACCTGGCAAATCTGGTGCGTGTTCAGTAAGCAAATCTGTATGAAAGTGTATAAATTACACAGTTTATATGTAGCAAGACTTTATAATAAAATCTTTATAATTGTAATCCTAGGATCTTAACTTCTTTTTTCTTTTTTTTTAAGACAGTTAGGCAATGGGGAGGAAGTAGACAGGGATTCTGTCAAGGTCTAGGTACAAGTAGCTCTGAAAGGAAGCTTCCTTTGGTTGTTGCCAACATACCAAAATTAGTGTGCAGAGCCTCATACTCTTGCGGCTTCTCTGAAGCAAAGCAGACTGCTTGCCTGGTGAAGCAGAGCTGCCTGGTGAACCTCAGGAGAAAGAACTCTCTGATGGAGGGAAATCTAGTTTCCAAGATGAAGCAGTTGTCTTCCCTTTGATTATTTTAATTCCTACTTAAATCTGCTTTCTGAAAGCAGTCTCTTTATTGTGCAGTAGATAGAGAAGGTATTGTGATTTATTTGGGATGGTTGGCAAATGGCCCTCTAAGCTCAATCCAATTTCATCGAAGTCCTAATATGTAGTAGGCACTGACCTTGACTCACCTGTAGTATTTTATGAGAGTGTAGGATGTAAGTGAGGAGGTGACTGCAATTATGTGGTAAGCTCTTCCAGGAAAACAAAACAAAACAAAACAAAACAAAACAAAACAAAACAAGGCTTGTTCTCTGTAGCCCTCAAGCTCTAGAAAAGAAAAGATGGGTAAAAATCTAATGAGACAGTTCCCCGACATATACTAGAATAACTGCAGGCTATCAAGTACTGTGGGCTACAAAGGTCAGACTACATGTTTTCTATCTTAAGGAAGACATAATAGATTAGGCAAGGTGGGCATGTAAATAAATAAGTGCAAAATATCAGCATGCAATGTAACAACATACAGTAGCTAAGTGTAACTCAGCAAAATTCATAATACAGTCTACCACTTACTCTAGCTTCAAAAGGAATTATTTCTGTTGTTGCTACCCTACTGTATGATGCGAAAATATGGCCTAGATTATGGAAATAGCTTGCTGAGTCAGTGATTCCATGGCCATTTGGTTTGTTTGTCTTCCTTCCTTCCTTCCTCCCTTCCTTCCTTCCTTCCTTTCTTCTTTTCATTCTTTCTTTCTTTTTTATTTGTTTTATTTTTGAGGCAGGGTTATTTTGTACAACTGTCCTGGCTGTCCTGAAGCTCATTACAAATTTATCTTGGAGTCAATCAAATGGCAAATTATACAAAAGGCCAAACCATAGTGATGGAGGCAGATCAATGATTTCTAGGGTGGTAGTTGGGAAAAAATAATAACAGCAATCACTCATGCAAAAAGGTTTTGGTTGAGGGAAAATTTTCATGTATAAATTTTAGTGCCCACTTGTTAAAATGTCCTCTCTCTCTCTCTCTCTCTCTCTCTCTCTCTCTCTCACACACACACACACACACACACACACACACACTCTCTTAGATTAACCATTTAACTGTCTCAATCCCACTGTAATGATATTGGACAGTGATAGACAGGGGCAAGAACTTCTGAAGATGCAGAAGAGTTTGAGCTCCCATAAACTTGCTGTTGGGGGTATAAAAGGAGAACAGCTTCTTTGAGTTGAAAGATTGCTCAGTAGTTTCTTTTACAAGGCTGATATGATTTGGCTATGAAGTCTCTGAAAAGGCTCACAAATCAAAGATTTTGATTAATGAGGACTATGGCCTAGTCAGTGCTTTAATCCACTGATGACTCCATGAATAACTTGGTGGTGTTAATGGGATGTTTTGGAAATTTTAGGAGGTGGAGCTTACCTGGAAGAAGTAGGTTTTTAGGAACAGGTCTTAGGCCCCTGAATGGCATATCAGGTCAGCACTCTACTATTCCCTAGTCTCTCTCTCTCTCTCTCTCTCTCTCTCTCTCTCTCTCTCTCTCTCT